TGGGCCCCATCCCCTGCTGCTCTGGGGGGCAGGGGCAGGAAGATGGTGGCCAATGAGGAGGGGGAGCGGAGAGAATTTGAGCCGGGCCTCCCCTCCCCCATTTCCTCCTCGATCTCTACACCCGCTTCTGGAAGGAGCTGGGGGATGGCTCCTAGGCCCGAGGTGGGGGAGGGGCCCTGCTGGCTGGTGAATCGCAGGGCTTGCTCCTCAGGAATGAGTTGGGTGTGTGAGAGCTAAGTGGAGAGCTGAGGGGATCTTGGTCCCAGCCCCCTCTCTCTTCCTGCCTTAAGGGGAGAGAGAGCTGGGAACTCCTTGGGGAAGAATCTTCCCCTAGCCTCCCTCCACCCTGCCGGGCAGCCCTGTCTTTGCCTCTTTGCCTCCTGTTGGCGTGATCCATTTCCCAGCGGGACTGGTTTGCCCAACCCCAGGAGCAGAGGCCTGGTGACTGACCCCAGCAAGGCCTTCGTTTCCGCCCATTAGAACTGTGCAAACTGTGGGACCGGGCCCCATGTTTGCGGAATACAGGAACAAACTCTGCCTGGGAAGGAGGGAGAGAACCTCTCCTGTTTCCTGAGGGGGTGGGAGGAGGCTAGAGGGGAAGCCCAGAGGAAGAGCTCCCAACTGGAATTCTGTCCGCCATGCCTCCTGCTGGCTGTGGAGCGGGGACGGCTTCTCCCAGAGGCTGATCCTTCACTTGGAGGCCCTCTTTGCTCAGTGCACTGGAGGAATCACCCCACAGCCTCTCTCCCTCTGGGCTATTAAGAGTGATGGTGCACACAGTTCCCCAGGTCAGAACTGTTGCTGAGGCTCAGGGGCCACTGTCCCAGCGTGGGATGTACCAGGCTGGAGCTCTGGACCTGTGGATATCCAGGTGTCCCTCCAGGGCAGCCTCCTGGCTTTGCCTTTTAATCAGTCTCTGGATTGTTGGTCCTGAACTGAAGGCCCCTGGGTTAGGAAAGGCAGGAGAAGTACTGGGTGAAGTTGAAGGCTCCTCAACCGAGGAGTCCCTGGATAGGACCAGAAACAACTCACATCCTAGTTCCCCAGCCAACAAAAGCCTACCCCAACTCTCAATACAAGAGGGAATAGTCCTCCCATTTTGTTTAATTCCGAATCCATAAAGTGCTTCTTTGAAGACCTCCAAATGGAGACGGAGTGAGACTTCATCATCAGCTTCTACATCCAGACCTGGAAGCTTCTCTCTGCTGCCTGGGGACCTGTGACAACACTCCCCCACCCCTGGTCCTGGAGATTTATCTGAGATTGTCCAAAACTCCCCTTTAACTAAACTAAAAGGGAAGAGAGCTCTAGAACAGTGAAGAGTAGAAGATTCTCTTGTCCTGGTTGGCAAGTTCCTTTCTAGAAGGGAAGCTGACAAAAATATGAATCTAGATAAAGGCTCCCACAAGTGTCCCCCAAACTGTTGACCTTTCTACCAGACACTTCCTGTGAGGATTCAAGGATTGAGCACCAAGTTCAAGGTATTCCTTCAGCTGTCTCCACAGACCCTGTCCCCACCACTGAAACCTCAAAGAACAAGGGAGGGTCTTCTCTGTGCTGGGAAGGGGATGAGGGAGAAGGCATAAGGAGGAATGCAGAGAAGACAGGATTAACACTGAGAAAAGGACCAGAAGGGAGGAAAGCTGAAGTGAATGAAGATGAAAAAGGGCAGAGGGAGGCCCAGAGGGCTGGGAAAGGGGTGAGGAGGCAGAGCCAGCGCCTCTGCTGCTGGCCAGAGCTCTTTTCACATTGTGCTACTGTCTGCACCTATCACTAGCAGTGCAATGTTAAAAGGGCATTGGCCGGGTAGTGCTACCCAGCGTCGGCTGCCTCCTCAGGGTGGTGACTTCCTCTCCCATCTGGGCACCAATCAGCTACCCTGGTGGGGATTTGGGAAGCCCACTATTACTAGTCTTACTAATAGCTCACATTTATGGAGCCACTTTCACGTGCAGTGTATATGCTAGACACCGCCTACCTTGTTGTGAACCCTAATCACTTGGCAAGTATTACACCCATTTTACAGGTGACAGTAACAGGTCCAGAAAGGCTTAAGCAGTATGGCCAAGGTTATACACCTATTCACTTGTAGATCCTAGATATAATCAATCCTATCCTAAGTGTGACCACTCTCCCATATTTTTGTAGATCCATCTGGGGAGCTTTGAGTAGGATTTCTCTTCTGGGGGAGTTCCTGGGTTGTGCAAATTGTTAACCCGCACACTTGGCTGCTAACTGAAAGGTTGGAGGTTCGAGTCCACCCAGAGGCACCGGAGAATAAAGGACTGGTGATCTACTTCCCCAAAATCAGCCGTTGAAAACCCTATGGAGCACAGTTCTGCTCTGACACACATGGGGTCGCCATGAGTCCGAAATCAGTTCATGGCAGCTGGTTTTGCTTCTGGGAGAGGGCATGATCTGAGGGGCAGAAGGTTTTGAATGCCATCTGGTGGTTGTATGAGGGTATCTTCCAAAGTCTCAAGCCTTTAAGGATAAAAGTGGCAGCCTGTTAGCGAAGGAGGAAACCAGTTTCCGAACTCAACCTGGGATGGAGTGTGGGTAGAGGAGGTTGGGAGGATCCCTCCATCACTTCTGTGAAGCCTTCCTTGACTCCTCAAATACAGGCTAAATTCCTCTCCTTTGAGCTCCCAGAAAATGGGTAACAGACTGCTCCCCAGAGAAGCACCCCTTATCTGCAGCTCCTTCCCTGGCTCTCAGGGCATGGAAAGAAGACCTCATTGCTCTCCTGACTCCACTTGCCTTCTTGGTCACAGGGTACTTGATGATGACTGAGAGTGTACCTGTCTGGGTATCCAAGATTTGGACAGAGCTGTCCATGGCCTGATCTAAGCTTTAAAGATTAAAAACGATCCTTTGAGCCAAGCCCATAGAGTGATTCTTCCAAAGGCGATTATAAGGAACTTGAGAGCAGTGACTATCCCATTTACTGCTCTTTGTCTCCCGTAGCACTTAGTTGGCTTAACAAGAACTTGTTAAAGTGAATTGAGAGACGGCATATTTGGTGAGCTTCTTTAAGAAAGCAGCTAGTTTGGGCCCAATTTCTAAGGGTACAGCTTAGGGCTTAAGAAGACTTCCCGAACTTTGGCCAGAGTTGAAGCCAAGAGGGCTAGGGTTTCTGGGTCCCTTGCTTGAGCCCACGAGAAGAATCGGGGCATCATCAGATATGTAGACACTGAAGGATGGGACAGACGCCCCTGAAGCCTCTAGGATGGGGGGTGCTGGATATCATTCCTCCATGGCTTGCATTTTCCCCTTTCCGTGCTCTTCTCTGTCTTCCAGTTGTTTCCTCCTTTCTCCCGCCAGACAGCCAGTCCAGTTTTACCTTGACAACAGTATTCCCGATGCCCCTTACCTTCTACAGTCTATTAAAACTTCTATTTGAGCCTCCTCTCTGATGATACCACTCCCAGTCAAACCCCAAACCCATTGCTGTTGAGTCGTCAGGAACCTTAGAGGACAGAGTAGAACTCCCCCCATACCATTTCCAAGGCCATAAATCTATGGAAGCCGACTGACACATCTTTCTCCTGCAGAGGGGCTGGTGGGTTCAAACAGCTGACTTCGGTTAGCAGCCAAGCGCTTAACCACTTCGCTACCAGAGCTTCTCCCCAATGCCCTAGGGATGAAATCTAGATTCCCTAAATGGTTTCTGGTCACTGCCTGTCTCCTATTTCATCTCTTGCCTCTCCTCACTCATGTGCACCTGTACTTAAGCCATAGGGAACTTTTGTTTCTTCCTCAAATGAAGTAAGCTCAAGCCTCGACATAATACACACAGTTCCCTCTACCTGATATACTCTCCCACTCTACTTTTTGTCCACCCAGCTTCTGATCTTTCAAGTGCCATCATAGTCATTACTTTTGCGAAGCCTTCCTTGACTCCTCAAATCTAGGCTAAATTATTAAATCCCTGCTCAGAGCTCTATGGGCTTGGCTCAAGGGATCACCTACTGGAATTGCCTGGTTATTTTGTCGCCCCCACTCGACCATGAGCTCCCTGAAGTCAGGCCTGGTTCACCATTGCTTCCCCAGTACTGAACACAATGCCTGGCAAGTAGTAGGCGCTCTAGAAATATTTGTATCAATGAGTGCATCTGAAATAACAACATAGCTTACAAAGCATGGTTTTTATGCTGTGTATGGCTCCCATGCAGGTGCCTAGAACTAAGCAATAGGACTTTCACGTCACTGCCAAAAAAATGCCCTTGGCTCATGGTTGCATTGATGCTGCAGATTTGAGTTGTTTTGTTCCACTTGCTATCAACTGCCAGAGCAGTGCCTTGGCTGATTGATTTTTCTATTAGCCTTAAGTGTGGCCGTGAGCTGACCAAAACATTACAGAACCAAGCTTAAAATAGGATCCAATGAAACTGTTCTGGGATCAGTTTCCTCCAGCTGCCCAATCCTGGATCCAGGCACAAATTGATTCATTGTCAAAGGTTCCAGAAGATAGAAGCTGCTTTGGATGCTTCAGCTGGAATACAGCTCACAAAACCCATCCCTCTTACTGAGCAAAACGTCACCTGAATACCCATTCCTGGTAAAACAAGTGGCCCTGGGTGGCGCAAACAGTTTTCGATCAACTGAAAGGTTGGTGCTTTGAACCCAGCCAGTGGTGCTGCGGAAGAAAGACCTGGGGATCTACTTTGGTAGAATTCCAAAACTCCTTGCTATTGATTAGTTCCAACTCATGGCAACCTATGTGTGACAGAATAGAACTACTCCATAGGGTTTTCTTGACTGTAATCTTTTGAAAACCACATGGAGTGCAGTTCTTGACACAGATGGGGTCGCCATGAGTTGGAATTGACTAGACAGGCTCTTTTTGGTTTGTAAAAGCTCAAGTGGGATCTCACGACGGACGAAGTAACTCTGCTGCCCTCTTGTGGCATGAAAGGACAGGCCCCAGGGGGGTGTGACTGAATGGGACTGTATGATCCATGCACGAGGAAGGAAAGTCAGAGGACAGAGCTCCTCACAGTTGCTTTTCCCCTTTTTATTAAAAATAGACCCAAACACTTTATGTATCATACAAAAGTTTCGTTCGCTGGTGGCAGCCACGGGAAAGACCGGCCCCGTAGCACTGATTTCCCACCTCCCCTTCAGGGAACTGGGTCCCGAGAAGCAGTGGCTGGGCCTCGGAGAATGCCCACAAAGACTGCTCACTCTGGGAACAGCCAGCTGCGGATGGGAGTGGGCACTGTTCCAGGGACAGCTTACCCCACGCCACCCCACCCTACCCCACGGCAAAGGTTAGCTACTCCAAAGTGCCTCTTCAGTGCCAAGATAAACTAACAAGTAGAGTGAAATGGAAACCCCTCTGATCCTTTATGTTTTCCCAGGGTCTGGGATTTGGGTTTTTCCTTCCACCCCTGAGTCCCTTCTCCTGTGACTGGGGGTGGGAAACTGTTTCCCTTCAGAGAGTCTGGTCCCTCCTGATGTCTGAGGCCAAAATGCCATTCCAACCCAAGCCTTTCCTCATCTGCTATTCTCCTGTGGCCTGAGTTCTACCAGCCCTGTGACCCAAGGTTGTCCTCTGTTCGATCAAGAAGAGGTGGGGCAAAAACTGACTCCTCCCACAGTCCTCTCTGCCTGAGTCTACGCCCTGCCATTGCTTCAATTTTCAGGACCTTGGGGTCCTACAGCCACCCCTTTTACCCTGTCTGTCTCTCCCTGACTGCTGCCCACTCCTGAGCCTTGAACACCCCTGGGGTACCCCAGGCCCCTGTTCCAAAAGGGGCCTGGTAGTGATGAGGTGAGGGCAGGGGAGTGGTTGGTTGGAGCCGGGTTTCCCCCAGGGGTGGGCAGTACTCATGCTGGTATAGACTGCTTGGCAGGGCCAGGGGGCATGTGTGGGGTAGGATGGGGCATGCGGAGGAAGGGCACAGCCTGCCTGAGCCCCTCAGTCCCAGCCGTTGTCCTTCACCATGTGTGACATTTCAATGATGTACTTCCCTTCCTTGTACTTCTGGCTCGTCTCAAAAGCTTGTTCCTGGTGGAGGGGGAAGCAGTGAATATTGGACAAAGCAGTCCCCCTCCAGGTCCTACTACCACCTATATTGCCTTTGCCCCAAGTGCCCCCACGCCAGTCCAACCCAGTTACTAGCTCCCTCTTTGGACCATGCAAAGACCTAACTGGTGGCCACTGAGGCATGGAGGGCCATGGGGACTGTGCATTTAGAGGATGGCCCTGTTTCCTGGGTACTTACATATTTCCAACCCAGCGTGGTTTTGCAGCTCTCACAGAAAATATCAGCTACCGAGTGGAGCCCCGTGAGCAGGAGGCGCTGTTCGGCTGGCCCACAGCCCACGTTGACCCTGTCCCAGGAAACAGGAAGGACCCAGCACCCAGTGGGGTGGCTCAGTCAGTCCAGCCCCCCACCAACCCAGAGGAACTTCTATCTGGAGAGAGCTTGACCCGCCCTGCCTTTAGCAGTCCACCCCTTTATCACTCGTGCCTGGGCCTTCTTTCTCCAACACTATGATTCTCTGCCCAGAACTTCCCACAAGAGAACTGCAGACAGATTTTTCTGAACCCCTTTGCAAAAGGGGAGGCCGAGCAGAAGATGCAAGATGACCTTCTGATGGCTCTTCCCCCTGTCTCCACAGGGGAAGAAAATTCATACACACCAGCATATACACTCAAGGAAAGAGGTAGTAGACTCACACGGAGTTAAACAGGTAGGCTCGGCCATGGCTTCCTTGGAAGGACTGTGGAGACATAGGACAGACAGTGACTACCTGGTAGCCTTGGCCCCAGTGCCTGAATCCCCGCAAGGGCATGGGAGAGGAAGGGCTTTATTAGCTCCCTGCTAGGTGATGTTGGCACAAGCCTGGTGTGTGTGTTTGAGGCGGGAGTGACAGGGGTCCCCATTTAGCATACCTTGGAAATAAGCTCATCATGTTTAGCCAGGTGCGCACGGCAGTGGACGCAGCTGTAAGTGCGGTGGCAGCGGGGCAGGTAGCTGCGGAAAGTCTTGGCGGGGAGGCAGGCAGGGCCCGGGCCAGGGTCACAACTGGGCATGACGGGCTGGAGGACGATGCCCTGGCGGGCTGGAGGGGCTGGTGCTGTGCAGCCCCCACACAGACGATCGCAGGTGAAGCAGCGGAGCAGGTTGGCTAGAGCCGTGTTTCAGGGCAGGAGAAATGTGGGGGGGCTGCCCGGCCAGGGCCCCCCCAGACGAGAACCAGACAGAAATGGAAGTCACCTGGGAAGAGGTGAAGGCGCATCAGGAGAGCTGTGACCTCGTGGGAAGCTCCTCAGGGGATGAAGCTGAGGCTCAGCTCACCTCCACCCCTACTTCCCCCATCACCGGCACCCTCCCCAGCATCCAGTAGCACTGTGTCTCCCTGCCCCTTGGATTCCAGTTCTGCTCTGGCAAGCCTGGCAGCAGTTCCAGGCTTCTGGCGCCATAGCCAGGGAGCTGGTGTCTCGCCCTCCTGGGGTGGTAGCAGCCTCCACCATTTTCCACTGAGAGCAGTCCGCTGGCACAGATGCTGCCATGGGAGCAACGTCAAGTGCAAGCACCCTCTCCTTGGTGTTCAGTTCTTCCGTGAGGCATTGCATCTCGTAGGCATTTGTAGGCACTGTGTCACTGGGCCTCAAGGCTTTTGAAAAGATAGGGATGCTTGGTGGTTTTCTTTTGCATGACCTCCATTTCCAATACAATTGGCCCTTCATACATTCATGTGGGAAGTATAGGCACAGGGCTGGATTACCCAATAAGCAAGGTACCCATGGGCCCAATAGTGTCTGCTCACTACAGATTAGCGAGTAAATACAATTAAGCCCGTGCGTACCTTACTCAATGCAAACCGGTGCATAATGTGCTTACTGGTTAATCTGCCCCTGGACAGGCATGATAACGGAGGGAGAAGGAGAGCAGGCATACAGGTACCCACCTGCTTCAGCCCTTTCCTGGGACCTGGGGGGTGGGGGGCTGCGTTCTGGGACTCTTCACTAGAACTTTATGGATGTCTTGATACAGAGAACCTCGGATGTAGCCATTCCCAAGTCCTGCGCCTTGCGCCACTCAGTCCAGTCCAGCAGAAGCACCTGGCTGTCTTCCCAGCCTCTGGCCCCCTTAGTCCTTCTATACTCTACTCTGCTTACCATTGCCTTAGCCCTCAGTCAAGGGCTTAGGTACCCAGCCATGGGAGAGAAAACATGCTTCCTTCAGACAAATCAGACAGATGGAACCAATGGGAAGTGGGTAACACTCGCGGCAGGGAAGCCAGATCTCCTGGGCTGAACAGGGCCGTATGATGTAGTGTGAAAGCAGCGTCCACTATGAACAGGGGAGGCTGGGGGGTGGGGGGTGGTGGTGCTTATTTTCAAAAGCAGTGCTTTGGAGCCCAAGGCAGAGAATGTTTTCCCCACCTTCTCCCAGGGGCAGGCGCTGACAGCAGTGACCCTGTGGGTGACTGAAGATGAAAGAGTTGCTGGTTCTAATGAGGAATCTTGAAGAAGCTGTTGTTATCTGTCCAAAGCGGCTGGGGCGCTGGAGGCTAAGGATAAGTAGGGAGGTGTCCTTTGCTAGCTCTGATAAGCAGGTGAGGTGCTGCCTTCTTCTTCTGGGGCCTTCTGGCCCATGGTGGGTAGGAAGCCAAGTCTGGTTCAGAGATGCCAGCTAGGTGCTCCGGCACTGCTAGACCAGTAAGCCGAGAAGAGGGAGTGTACTCCAATTAGCCAGTGCAAACAGGCACTCCTCGTCCTGTCCTCTGCGGTGGCCACAAGCAGCCCAATTGCTCCACTCTGCTCAGGCCGCCAGGCAGTCTCCACAGAAGCCCGTTAGAGACCATCTTCGGTTTCAAGTCCTCTCCTCCTGGCTGGGCTCCAGGAAGACACCTTGGGTTGATCCAGGGTGACATTGGGTTCTGGCCGCAAGGAACAAGGCCTCCTCGCTGGCCAGCAGACCACTGTCCGACGTCCACTTCACGTTCTGCCATCAACTTGGCCTGCGAGCTGCCCTCGGTCCCGCATCACCTAGCAACACCTTCTTCCAGGGCCGGAAGGGGGGCCGGCCCAGGTGCCTGCCCGAGCTCCTTCTTCCCCCGCTGTCACGCCTCCCTCCCGCCCCCCCCACCCTTCCCTGCCAAGCCAAGAAGAGGCTGCACCGAAGGCCAGAGAAGCACAGAAGGGGGATTAGGAGTCATTTCTTCCCCCGGCTGAGATCACAGGGAGAAGCAAGGTGGACAAATGACCGGGGGACAACAAAGGCGAGGTGAGCGCTGGGGGAAGGAGGTGGACCCAGACGTGAGACCAGGCTGGACCGGAGGGGTGGGGTGGGGGGGAGGGAGGATCTGTGCACCCAGCGCTGACAGCAGAGGCGCCCAGGCGGAGGCTCGAGGAACCAGGTGCGAATCCCGTGCCTAGCAGGAAAAAAAAAAAAAAAAAGCGAGGGGGAAGGGGACACCTGCTCCCAACGGATTTGCTCTTCAACTCAGAGGCTCCGGGCCCCCACCCTCCGGGCTGGCCTGCTTCGTGTGGTATGGTCCAAACAATTAGCAGCGCAGTCAGCTCCCCGGGCGGTCTTTGGGGGGTCTGCACCAGCGGCAAAACAATAAACAGTGACGCCTGATGCTGCAGCCGAAGTTGCCGGGAAAGAAGTGCGGGAACAGTCAGAGCTTGGAGAGGGATGGAGGAGCCGAGAGAGAGGAGCGGAGGCAGCGGGGAGGGGGAAGGGAGGGCAGAGGGTGGATGAATAACGCTTTTGCCGAGGGGAGAAAGCAACACGCAGCAGGAGGAGGAAATTTGCAAAGCGGGGGGAAATTCAGTTGGAGAAGGGCTGCCCCCTCACCTTGAGGTCTGCTCCAGAGATCTCCGTCTATCTCTCTCTCTCTCTCTCTCTCTCAACCTCTCTGCTCACTCTTCTCTCTTCTCTTTCTGCTCCTTCAATTGGGAAGGGGATGGGGGTTGGGGAGGATAGTTAGGGGGTTCAAGATGAGGGGCTGCAAAGTTGACCATCTGCTGGGGGGCCAGAGGTTGTCTCTCGTTCCGAGCTTCGGTCTGTGGGTGAATGTGGCTGTGTGTTGTGGAGCTGCATCATAACACTGTGAGTCATCCGTCCCCCACCCCCCTCACCTCCCACGTCAGAGCAGGGCTGGGAGACACAGGAGGCGGGCAGGGAGGAAGGGAGGGGGCTGGGGAATGATGCAAAGGGACAGGGGGACCAGAGGAAAGGCAGGTGGCTGAGGAGAGAGGCAGTGTGGCCAAAGAGCTAGGAAGAGCCTGGGGGAAGGACAGGGCTGGGTGGGGATGGAGTAAGGATGGCAGAGCTGGAAGAAAGGTGGCCAGGCCAGTGACAGCTGGATGCAGAGTCAGGCACTCATACACACATTCAAGATGATACATTTTCCCATTTCATCTCGGACACCAGCCCTGAGGCAGGGAAAAGAAGGATGGACTAATTGTTACAGATGGCAAACTCAAGCCTCAGTTTAATACCCATGAAGGAGTCATAGACCACCTCTGACATCTCACATGCAGGGATCTCTTATCTCCCACCTCCAGATTACTAATGCTTCATGAACTGAGGCACCCACATTACATAAGGTTCTCTCCTGGGCTATAAACTTTCTGAGGCAGGTCCTCTGGGAAGTCCTCTGTGCATCCCAGGACTGCAGTACCTTGCGCAGAGTTGTGCATCCAGAAGATGTTCACAAAATAGTAGCTGAGTTGCATCTTCAGACCGGGACCAAGTGTGTGGCTTTGGTCTCAAAGAGACCTGAGTTGGAATCCTAGCTCTGCCAGTAACTTACCAGCAACCACAGGGCAAGTTACTGATCCTCTTTGTGCCTGAGTTTTCCTCTTCTGTTAAATGAAACTAATAACATTTACCTCATGAAGATGTGAGGTTAAAGTGAGATAACATGTAAATCTCTAAAAAGTGTCTGGCACGTGATAGGTACTACTTAGTAAACAATGTTGTTGTTGTTGTCAGCTGCCATTGAGTTGGCCCCCACCCATGCGCAACGGAACTAAACGCTTCCTGATCCTATGCCATTCCCATGATGGATTGAGGATCAGACTGTTGTAATCCATGGGGTTGTCACTGGCTAATTTTTGGAAGTAAATTGCCAGGCCTTTCTTCCCAGTTGGTCTTAGTCTGGAAGCTCCACTGAAACCTGTTTAGCATCATAGCAACACCTAAGCCCCCACTGACAGGCGGATGGTGGCTTCGCATGAGGTGCATTGGCTAGGCGAGAATCAAACCCAGGTCTCCTGCATAGAAGGTGAGAATTCTACCACTGAACCACCACTTCCCTCTAGTAAACAGTAGTTATCATTATTTCTAAACAGCATCTTCCTCAAACAGAGACTTGTACACCAATGTTCATTGTGGCATTATTCACAATAGCCAAAAGGTGGAAACAACCCAAATGTCCATCAGCAGATGAATGGATAAACAAATGTGGTATATACATCCGATGAAATGTTATTCAGCCATAAAAAGGCATGAAGTTCTAACACATGCTGTGATATGGATGAGCCTTGAAACATGCTAAGTGAAAGAAGCCAGACAGAAAAAGACAAATATCATATGATCCCACTTACATGAAATATCTAGACTAGGCAAATGCATTGAGACAAAGTAGATTAGTGGTTACCATGGGCTGGGGGGAGGGGAAGATGGGGAGTTAATAGGGACAGAGTTTCTGTTTGGGGTGCTGAAAAAGTTTAGGAAACAAATAGCAGCAATGGTTACACAACATTGTGAATATAATGTCACTGAATTCTACACTTAAACATAGTTAAAATGGCAAAGTTTGTGTTATACATATTTGTTTACAATAAAAATAATAATGATTAGATTAATGATAAAAGCTATTTGCTGAGCACACACACACACACACAAAAACCCAAAACAATAAAACCAGCATTCTCAGCTTATTACCCCTAAACCCAGAGATTTACTATTAGATTCTTAATGTCTCAAGAGACACACGGCAAATTTGTGTCTTATGAAGAAATTACATCTTTTGTGCTGCCATCTTTCTATCAGTTTCTAGTTAAATTTAATTTGTCTCAGAATATTTCAGAGGCTAACATTCAGAAAGTGAAGTGCTTGTGTGTGGTTTGTTTTTCACTTGCAAGGAGGGACAGAAAGTTAAGGGCATTTGTAATGGGAGGCATTGCTAGCTGGTAACCAAAAAAAAAAGGAATTCTGAATATTTAATCAGGGAAGGTTCTAGGGTTTAAGGTAAATTCTGAAAAACACAAAGTGGGTATCTTTAGAGATGGTACCAGAGGGAGAGCTGGGTAAAGAAAGAATTCAGAAATGTACTTGTTCGGGCCACCGATGAGAAAGGAAATGTAAGTGGAGGAGGAATTTGAGGAGCCATTGTTGAGGAGAACAATGGGAAGTGGGAAAAGAAAGGTGAATAGCTTTCAGGGCGAGGATTGGAAATTTGGAAGCAAAAAGGATACCAATGAATTTAAATCAACTCAGGAAGAAAATGATCAAGGATTTAGCCAGGAGAGGAGAATGAGAAGGACATACGAGGATGGTATTATTATTTATGGTTGGGGTGGCGATGATAGGAGTGCTAGGTGAATGATTGAAAGGGAGTAAAGGAGAGAGTAGGCAAGCACAGAAGCTTTACAGGTTGTGCCTGATTCTGTATTTAAGAAGCAAAATGGAGAGGAGTCTAAAAAAGGAAGGATGTTCTTCTCCCTAACTTCAGCTTGAGATGGCCATACTATACCCAAATAAAGATGACCTTCAAAAAATTGAGAGAAATTGCCTCAAGCAAAGGGAGAGAGTAGGGTGGTGAAGAAAAACAGATTTGGGAGATATATTGCATGGATTTGGACAGGATGAGATCACTGAGGGAGAAAATTTGCAAAGGGGAAACTTCACCTGGATTTTTGAAAAATGATGAAAGATTGTTGTTGCTGTTAACTGCTGTCGAGTCTGCCCCCAACTCATGGAGACCGCATGTACAATGGCATCCAACTGTGATGATCCGTAGGATTTTCACTGGCCAGTTTTCAGAAGTAGATAGCCAGGCCTTTCTTCCTAGTCTTGGTCTGGAATCTCCACTGAAACCTGTTTAGCATCACAGCAACACACAAGCCTCCACTGACAGGTAAGTGGTGGCTGTGCATGAGGTGCATTGACTGGGAATTGAACCTGGGTCTCTTGCATAGAAGATGAGAATTCTACCACTGAACCATCACTGCCCTCAGATGCAATTTCGACGGCAATTTTTTTTAAAATAATTAATTGGAGAAGGAATGCGTGCATGATGAATAAATGAAATAATTAAAGCAGACTCTCAAAGAAAACAGAGAAGTGAGAGCTGCACTACTTGGAAAGTGAGTGCTAAGGCAGGGCGAGCAAGAGAAAGGCAAACCAGTAAATCTTCACAAGTTCGTCGGTAGGGATTAATCACATGAGCTGGACTCAAAAAAGTACTCACTTGTAAAGAGGGGATAGCAATTATAGTACCTACCTCACAGGATTCTTATGAGGATTAAATGAATTTACATCTGTAAAGTGCATAAAACAGTGCCTGGCACCTAGCACTGTTTACACTAGACTTGGACACCAAAACCCAGGGTTTGAGTCCTAGCTCGACTACTTACTGTGAAAGCTTGGGCAAGCCCCTTCACCTCAGTTTCCTTCCCCATTTGAAACTGGACATAATAAAGCTAACTTTACAGGGTGAAAGAAGGGCTTCGAAAAATGTAAAATACTGTACAAATGGATGGCATTATTATATCTTGTCACCCCCCCCCCCCACAGCCTATAATAAAAACTTAATAGCTTTTTTTTTACTTGCTTTCTATGGGACAGACATTGCGCTTAGTGCTTTACTTGCATATCCCCTTCAATCTTCAAAACAACCCTAAGAGGTTGGGTACTGTTATTATAGCCATTTTACATACAAGGAACCGCGTCTCAGAGCGTTTAATTTCCCGCTCCGTGGGAGAAGGTTGTTGGATAATGAGGAACTTATAAGAAAACTGAAAGAAATATCTTGGAAATTTATTTTTATTTTAAAAAGTATATTTTTGAATGCCTTGTATGTGCCAAGCACTGTGCCAGATAGGGGATGACACGTCAGCTTAGCTCCTGGCAGGCCGTTTTCCTCCACTTTCCGTATCCCTCCGTGCCCAAACGGAGTTTTTCTAATTTCCCCACTTCCTGGCCTGAGGTCCAGGCAAGCGGACCACCGTGGGACCCACAAAGTGGGTGCCCTGCCTTGCCGGCCGCAGTAACTCCCCCAACAAAGTCCACGCCAGGTGAGCCGGAACTCAACGGACTACATCCCACACAGCAGCGCCTCGGCGTCGGTTGGGCGCTCAGCCAGTCCCCGCCCCGGGCGGGGGCGTAACCGACACGCCCTCAACCCCTGCTTGCCGGCTTCGCGAACAATGAAGGCTGCTGCCCCGCCCACCTTCGGCGCACGATCAAAACAATCCTTTAACTACAACTCCCAGAAGACCTAGCGTCCGCGCGAACTCGACCGCTCGCGGCTGTCCCGGTATTAGTATACCAAGGGGCATCGCGCTATCGCGTCTACTTTCATTGCGCAAGTGCGGAAGCGCACGTTTTTCCGGCGTGGGTCTGGGTGAGCGTTCGCTGCGGTTGGGCTTGGGGTCTACGTGTGGGAGCTTCACTTTTACCGGTTTGGGCTCAGAGGCCGTGCAGGTGAGATAATAAGCTCAGAAAGGCAAACGTCGCCGCTGCAGAGGTCGGGACGAGTGCTGCACCTACAGCCGCTGTCTGGGATCGGAAAGAATGTTTCACGTTTTCTCGGTAGTGGAAGTTTACGAAGTGCTTTTTTCCTCCTTCAATTCGTATTAATCCCAAAACAGCACTGTGTGTGAGGAGGCGTGCCTCCAGTTCACAGCTGAGGAAAGAGATTCAGAGAAGTTGTGATTTCTCCAAAGACACTGCTAGTAGGTACAGAGTTGGACCTTAGACTGTTTTCTAAAGCCAGATCCGGTATCCTTTGCTTTGCATCCGGATTGCAGACGCGCTTCTTGACGAAGATGAGTGGGGAGTGGGCATTTGTTGTCTATTCTCAAATCTAGAGTACCTCAGTAGAGCGATGAAGGTGAGGTATTCAAGCCCTCTGTCAATCTGTAGAATAGTTTTCCTCTTTTATTTGGTCACTTATTTAGTCGTTGTATTTGAGGTGCCTATGGTTTGTCAAGCCCTGTTCTAGCTATTAGAGATACAACAGCAAACAAAAATGCCTAATCCTTACTTTGTAGTAGGGGGAGAAAGACAACAAACAAATACAGTAGTGAGACAGATGGTGGTAAGAGAGAGAAAAATAAAGGAAAGTAAGGGAAATGTCCATCGGAGGATTTTGAATAGAGGCCTGTCATATGTGTAGATCTGATACTTAATTTGTGTTTCAGGCACTTCAGCTACACACAAAAGATGGGAGAGGAGGCCAATGATGACAAGAAGCCAACAACAAAATTTGAACTAGAACGAGAAACAGAACTTCGTTTTGAGGTGGAGGCGTCTCAGTCAGTTCAGTTGGAGCTCCTGGCTGGCATGGCAGAAATATTTGGTACAGAGCTGACCCGAAACAAGAAATTCACCTTTGACGCTGGTGCCAAGGTGGCTGTTTTCACTTGGCATGGCTGTTCTCTGCAGCTGAGCGGCCGCACTGAGGTGGCTTATGTCTCCAAGGATACCCCTATGCTGCTTTACCTCAACACGCACACAGCCTTGGAGCAGATGCGGAGGCAGGCAGAGAAGGAAGAAGAACGAGGCCCCCGGGTGATGGTAGTGGGCCCCACTGATGTGGGCAAGTCCACAGTGTGCCGCCTGCTGCTCAACTATGCAGTGCGTTTGGGCCGCCGCCCGACTTACGTGGAGCTGGATGTGGGCCAGGGCTCTGTGTCCATCCCGGGTACCATGGGGGCCCTCTACATTGAGCGGCCAGCAGATGTTGAAGAAGGCTTCTCTATCCAGGCCCCTCTGGTCTATCATTTTGGCTCCACCACTCCCGGCACCAACATCAAACTTTATAATAAGGTCAGAGCCAGAACCATGATGGGCTGGAGGGAAGGGTTGCTATCAGTGTAGGAAGCAGAGAAAGTTTGTCTGCTTGTTAAAACTGTCTGCAGCTATCTCTTTGCTCGTTCTCAGCTGGAAATTACTGCTAGATAATTTCAGAAAAGGCAGTTTCACATGTAAACCACCCTCAGATTGTTAAAAACATTTCTGTAAACCTATTCTTAGTAGAGGTCTCTGGGTGGTACAGATGGTTTGTGCTTGAATACTAAAGATTAGTGGTTTGAACTTACCCAGCCGTACTGTGGAAGAAAGGCCTGGGGATCTGCTTCTGTAAAGATCACAGCCAAGAAAACCTTATGGACCAGTTCTACTCTGTAACGTGGGGTTGCCATGAGTTGGAATCAACCCAGTGGTATCAGGTTTGGTTTTTGGTTTTTTATTCTTAGCAATTGATTAAATTATTTTCAGTTAGGACATAAGACAGAATGCTGAAGAAGCAATATAAAATAGAAATTGAATCAATCCACATGTGTGTAAAACTGCAACCATAAAAAATATTATTTTTCCTGTATTCAGTACTGCTTATTCTAAATAGCCATGGGTTTGTCTGTTTTTGTTTTATTTTATTTTTTTCTCACCTTCGTCCCTCTGCAGATTACATCTCGTCTGGCAGATGTGTTCAACCAAAGGTGTGAAGTGAACAGGAGGGCCTCTGTGAGTGGCTGTGTCATTAACACCTGTGGCTGGGTCAAGGGCTCTGGCTACCATGCCCTGGTGCATGCAGCTTCAGCTTTTGAGGTAGATGTGGTGGTGGTTCTGGATCAAGAACGGCTGTACAACGAACTGAAACGGGACCTGCCCCACTTTGTACGTACTGTGCTCCTCCCTAAATCAGGGGGTGTGGTTGAACGCTCCAAGGACTTCCGGCGGGAATGTAGGGATGAACGTATCCGTGAGTACTTCTATGGATTCCGAGGCTGTTTCTACCCCCATGCCTTCAATGTCAAGTTTTCAGATGTAAAAATCTACAAAGTTGGGGCCCCCACTATCCCAGACTCCTGTTTGCCTCTTGGCATGTCTCAGGAGGACAATCAACTCAAGCTAGTACCTGTCACCCCTGGCCGAGATATGGTGCACCACCTCCTGAGTGTTAGCACTGCTGAGGGCACAGAGGAGAACCTTTCAGAGACAAGTGTTGCTGGCTTCATTGTGGTGACCAGTGTGGACCTGGAGCATCAGGTGTTTACTGTCCTCTCTCCAGCCCCCCGTCCACTGCCTAAGAACTTCCTTCTTATAATGGATATCCGATTCATGGATCTTAAATAGAGATCAGCAAGAAGCCTTGCTGCCTGGGACATAGAGATCTTGTGACCGTCACCAAAGGCAGGTGGGCTGAGGTATGAGAACCTGTTGAGGCCAGGCTGACCAGTAAATGGTGGACTAGTAGAAAACGTATTCTACCTCTTAAAACACATGGTAGGTAACCTGACTATTCTAGTCTTGAACCAAAAGGAAAAACCATCACCTAAGATGCCAATTTGAATTCTCCAAGACCATGAATAATCCTTTATCATTCACTGTGCTATTAATATGGGGACTAATTTTTAGGAGGGATTTTTTAAATTTCTACTTTATAGTCTGTTTACAGCACTTGCTATCTCATTAATGCAAGATGAAAGTGTGACTTAGAGTGACTCCAGTAAAGTTCAAACTTGGAAAAAAATGTATTTTAATAAATATTTTTGCCACATCACAAAAGTTGGTGTGATTTTTAAATTTCTTTCTGTAAGCATTATAGTAACATTATTGGAATGACTTGTTAAGTGCTTAGAGGGAAAAGCCCAAAACCCACCTGTGAGCCAAGCAGGTGAGTTTTCATGATGATTCCCCTTCCCTTGCATTAAGAAATAAAAAGATGCTAAATCTGTTATCAGTGCTGGGTTTACTGTGGGGAATTGAAAGCTGGTGATAAACTCTAGGGATAAGGTTTCAGATCTAATCGTGTTCTAGAGATGGCTTATTCGCTTTCAGTTGCATCTGTTTTTTTGTTGTTTATTTATCAGAACCAGGCTTTATGTCAAAGTGTAATTTGAGCTTTCTGGTAAGAAGCTGGGAAGGTCCATTCTCTTTGATCCCTTGCAAGAGATTGTTTGGTGTTCCTAGTTTAGACTTGGATTATTTAACAAGTGTCTGATGCCATTCATCCATTCATCCATTCATCCATTCATTCTTTCAGCAAATATTTGAGAACCCACTATTTGCCAAGAAGCATTCTGGATAGGAATGTTGGTGTTAGTGACGAATACTGCATATACCATGGACTGCCAGAACAGAGCCGTGGTAGTGCAGTGGTTAAGAGACTGGCTGCTAACCGTAAAGGTCAGCAGTTCAAATCCAGTAGCCGCTCCTTGGATACCCTATGGGGCAGTTCTACGCTGTCCTATAGTGTTGCTATGAGTCGGAATCAACTCGACGGCAACAGGAGGGGGCCAGAAGAATGAGAACAAATCTGTCTTGGAAGAAGTACAGCAAGAATGCTCCTTAGAAGTGAGGATGGCAAGACTTTGTCTCAGGTACTTTGGACATGGTTAAGGATTGAATTGTGTCCCCAAAAAATGTGTGTCAACTTGGCTAGGCCATGATTCCCAGTATTGTGTGGTTGTCTACCATTTTGTGATCTGATATGATTATCCTATGTGTTGTAAATCCTAACTTAATAAACAGGATTAGAGGCAGTTATGTTAATGAGGTAGGACTCTATAGGATTAGGTTGCATCTTAAGTCAATCTCTTTTGGGATATAAAAGAATCAAGCAGAGAGGAGACGGACCTCATTACCACCAAGCAAGAAGAGCCAGGAGTGGAGCATGTCCTTTGGACCTGGGGTCACTGTGCTGAGAAGCTTCTAGATTAGGGGTAGATTGATGACAATGACTTTCCCCCAGAGCTGACAGAGACAGAAAGCCTTCCCTTGGAGCTGGTGCCCTGAATTTGGACTATGAGACTCCTAAACTATGAGAGAATAAACTTCTGTTTGTTAAAGCCATCCATTTGTGGTATTTATGTTATAGCAGCACTAGATTACTAAGACAGGCATGTTACTGGGGGGGACCAGTCCCTGCAGGAGGACATCATGCTTGGTAAAGTAGGGGGTCAGTGAAAAAGAGGAAGACCCTCAATGAGATAGATTGACACAGTGGCTGCCACGGTGGGCTCAAATGTAGCAACGATTGTGAGGATGCACAGGACCAGGCAGTGTTTTGTTCTCTTCTACACAGGGTCACTATGAGTCGGAACCAACTGGTACATAACAACAACAATAATTCTGGATAAGGGAACAAGATAGATAAAGTCTTGTAGGAGCTTCCATTATAGAACAAACGAGAAAAAGTGTCGTATAGAGACTTAAAATTGGGTAACACGAGAGAGTAACTGGAAGGTTACTTTAGATCGGGTGGTCAGGAAAGTCCTCTCTGAGCTAAGACCTGAAAGGCAGTGTAAAGTTTGGAGCAAAACTTCGCCTAGTGGACGAATCCATGCAAAACCCTAAGAAATGAAGAAGCTTGATGTGCTTGGGGAAGAGAAAAGCTGATGTGGTTGGAGTGTAGACAACCAAGGAGAAAGTGGTACAAGATGAGGCTGGAGGGGGCAGACAAGATCAGACAGTGTAGGGCTTTGGGAAATCAGGGTGAAGAATTTGGATTTGATTCTGAGAGCAGTAGGAAACCATGGGGGATGAAGCGGTTAAGGTGAGGAATGGCATGATCTAATATCCTTTTGGAAAAGATCACTACTGCATGGAGAGTGGGTTATAGAGATGAGTAGAAGCAAGGACACAAGTCAGGAGACTTGTCTTAATGTGAGAATAAAGGCAGCAGAGAGCGCTGGTAAGTAGATTGCTTTTGGATAAAGGCAGTTCCTGGGTTACGAATGTCTGACTTACAGACGACTTGTACTTAAGAACTGCCATAAAGCCTATTTAAAAATTTGACTTAAATACAATGATCCTCAAATAACTAACACACGAGCTACTTTGATGCTCAGGAAAACATTGTGTGCTTTGGAAGTGTTTGTTAAGTGCTTTATATGCATGTTGTTGGGGTTGTTGAGTCGGTTCTAACTCATAGCCACCCAACGTATAACAGAATGAAACACTGCCTGGTCCTGTGCCATCCTCATGATCCTTGATATGTTTGAGCCCATTGTTGCAGCCACTGTGTCAGTCCATCTTGTTGAGGGTCTTCCTGTTTTTTGCTGACCCTCTACCAAACATGATGTCCTTCTCTAGGAACTGGTCCCTCTTGATACCATGTCCAAGGTACGTGACACAAAGTCTCACCATCCTTGCTTCCAAGGAGCATTCTGGCTGTACTTGTTCCAAGATAGATTTGTTCTTCTAGCATTCCATGGCATATTTAATATTCTTTGCCAGCACCATAATTCAGATGCATCAGTTCTTTGGTCTTCCTGATTCATTGTCCAGCTTTCACATGCATATGAGGTGACTGAAAATATGATGACTTGGGGCAGACGCACCTTAGTTACTCAAAGTAACATTGCTTTTTAATGCTCGAAAGAAGTCTTTTGCAGCAGATTTGCCCAATGCAATATGTTGCTTTATTTCTTGATCACTGCTGCTTTGTGCACCGATTGCAGATCCAAGTAAAATGAAATCCTTGACAACTTCATTAGTTTCTCCATTTATCATGATGTTGCTCATTGATCAACTTGTGAGGATTTTTGTTTTCTTTATGTTGAGGTGTAATCCTTAATGAAGGCTGTAGTCTTTGATCTTCACCAGCAAGTACTTCAAGTTTTCTTTGGTTGTATCATCTGCATATCGCAGATGAGTCTTCCTCCAATCCTGATGCAGCATACAGATTGAATAAGTATAGTGAAAGGGTATGACCCTGACGTACACCTTGCCTGATTTTAAACAATGTAGTATCCCCTTGTTCTGTTTGAATGATTGCTTCTTGGTCTATGTACAGGTTCCATATGAGCACAATTAAAGTGTTCTAGAATTCCCATTCTCTGCAATGTTATCCATAATTTGTTATGATCTACACAGTTGAATGCCTTTGCATGGTCAATAAAACACCGGTAAACATCTTTCTGGTATTCTCTGCTTTCAGCCAAGAACCATCTGACATAAGTAATGATATCCCTTGTTCCACGTACTCTTCTGAATCTGACTTGAATTTCTGGCACTTCCCTGTGAATATACTGCTGCAACCATCTATAAATTATCTTCACAAAATTTTACTTGCATGTGATATTAATGATATTGTTGAATAATTTCCACCTTCCGTTGGATCACCTTTCTTTGGAATGGGCACAAATACAGATCTTTTCCAGTCGGTTGGTCAGGTAGCTCTCTTCCAAATTCCTTGGCATAGATGAGTGAGCGCTTCCAGTGTTGAATATCAACAGACTCTAGAGGGAGTGAAATCCAAATTTTTGGCATAGATAAGTGAGTGCTTCCAGTGTTGCATATCAACAGACTCTAGAGTGAGTGAAATTAATGATGGGTATTTGCGTTCCTGACACTATTCTGTTCAGTATGTTTTTTATTTTCCAAAGAAGACAAAAATTAGGAAGAAAAGACAAGAGTGAGATCCTTTTGTAGACAAGAAGGGATGGGATCTAGAGCACAAGGGACTGTCCTTTAACACGAACAGAGACATTTCATAAGGACAGGAAGAAAAGTATTTTAAAAAAAGATGTCATTGGTGATTTTGATGCTGTAAAGACAAGGGTACCGTATTTTTTGCAGGTAGCTCACCCACATAACACCCACGTATAACGTGGAAATGACAAAATTATGTAAAAAAAGCCTTGGCATAGCATGCTCATGCATGTACTGTGCATGTCTTGTGACATTTCTAGAAGTGAATTTTGGCCTCATTCATGATTCATATTCTTCGGTTTCAACATGGTGCCCCATTCCCATTATGAGCCCGTTCAGTTCACCATTGGTTGCACTTGGTTTAGGAAAATGCTGTTAGGTGCCATCAAGTTGGTTCTGATTCATGGCGCCCCTGTGTACAACCGAATGGAACACTGCCCGGTCCTGCGCCATCCTCATAATCTTTGCTATATTTGAGCCTGTTATTGTAGCCACTGTGTTAATCCATCTCACTGAGCGTCTTCCTTAAATGAACTTTACATGAGATCAGTTTTATCCTGGTACCATTAAATATATTGGACAGGAAAAAAAAAAAGAAATTGAAGTCAGCAATGTGTAAAAAAATATTGGTATAGTACGCTTATGAAAATAAGGGGGTTGCACGGTTTGGAAAACATACATAACGTGTGTTATTTGCGTAAAAATAAGGTATTCCTCTCTGATTACTTCTAAGTCCAAGAGGGGCATTTTGTTTACAGTAAGCTGCCATCTATAGGTGTGAGAAAATGCAAGTGAAGGGGATTTGAAAAAGTATAGACAAGCTATGATAGATAAACTATGGTATTATTTGATACAGCAAAGTAATTGAACTTTGGGGGACTGCATATACCATTGTCTGAGCCTAGGTTTTATTGTGGAATACTTTTCAGAAGTGACTGGCAGTTTAAACCTTATTTTCTATGAAATCTTATTTAAACCTTATGTTCTATTAAACATCCTTACCAGGAATTACCTTGCATGATACTAGGGAATAGCAGACACTTGAAAACTGGACGTCTTAGTCATCTAGTGCTGCTCTAACAAATACCACAGGTGGATGGCTTTAGCAAAGAGAAGTTTATTCTC